CGGAAGATTCAGAATTTTTGTCCAAGGACACTGATAAAGGACAGGATGAGAAATCACAACTAGGTCTGTTTGGCTTCAAAGGCTTTTTTTTTTTTTTTTTCTCCATTATATTATGTTTCCCCTTGGGATGATTACAAAACATCACTAGTTTTAAAGGACTTACTATACTGAAACTAGAACTATGTGTAATTTTCTGAAATTTTAATTTTAATCTTTACATGTATGACAAATTTAAGTCTGTGGAGGGAGAAAATTATAATTTGGATTCCTTTAATAGACTTATTTTAAAGCCCTTGAATATGCCTGGGCAAAAATAGTACACATTTTTTTTTTTGAAACAAGTATTGGCTAGGGATTGAGTAAGGAATGTAGCCCAACATGAACCAGATGTTTTATTTTTACATAGAGAAGGAAATGTTAGAATATAGGATCAAGCTCTCTGGTATTATTTTGACATCAGTTTATCATTATGTGGACTCCTGGAAGGTAGCATCTTGTGCCTGAAAACATTGAAGTCAGGGCTTTCTCGTGCACGCAGGGCTGTGTTTATATTAGGTTATGCATGGCAGTTTGGCAGTTTGTTTTGCAGATGTTCGTAATGTACAGTCTTACATCTTGTTTCTATTTCTGGAATGCTTTTAAGTATGACTCATGTTTTCTTGAGACCATCCTAAAAATACAGCTAGTTTTGAGCATTAATGTAAAATACAACACAGACACCACACAGCAGTACATGATGCTTTCTCTCAGTAGTTTAATATAGTTTTCTGACAAATTAAATATTTTCTTTGATAAAAGAGACTAAACTAAAATATGAATAAGTAAAAATGGGAGTTGTTTTTTTTTTTTTTTAGAGAAACAGGTCCTCTCATATCATAGTGTAAACAACAAAATGAGTTGGGAATTTCAATAAAAGGAGTAAAGCATGGTATCACTGGCATCCTCAAAAACTAAGAAATAGAATTAATGGCCAGAAAAGCAAGTCCATTAAATTCAGTGGAGCCCCCATGAGGTGAACACTTGTAGGGAAAATCTTGGATCTGAAGAAAGAGCCTGTTAAAAAGATTTTGGAGGGGCAGTAGGACATAATGGCTAGAGTGCAAGCTTTGAACTCAAAAGCTTAGGTCTAAGTCTGGTTCATGCACATAGCAACTGTGGACAAATGCTAGCACCTCAAGAACTTTGATTTTTGTGAAATGTAGGTAATGAATATTTAAAGAATGCTTATATGGCACTTACTATTACCAGACACTGTTCTAAGTGCCTAATTTAATCCTCGTAATAACCTTATAAATAAGTACATTTGTTATATCTGTTATGCAGATGGAGAAACTAAGCACAGAGAATTGAAATAACTGATGAAGTTTTCATACCTAGTAGGCAGCAGAATTGGGATTTGAACAGTTTGGCCTGATTCTGTATCCTGACACAGTATCGTCTGCTACCTCCTAGGGTTGTTGTGAGTTCTAAAAGAGATCCTTTGTGAAAAAGGAAAATCATTTGTATTTTTACCTGGTACATGAAAAAGATGCAATAAATTATTGCTATTATTATGACTGTTTATTGGAAAAGGAAAAAATAAAGGAAAAGAAGTCTTATTGAAAGTATAGCATAGACTACAAAGCCAGCCACAGGATTCAGAAGCTGCTTATATGTATTAAGAAACTTAGGTAGAATTGAAATGTGGTGATGAGAGCCTTAGATATCCTAACATCTAGCAGATCAATCTAAAGGTAGAACTTCTTCACTACTGACTTGCCTCCCTGACAATTTCATCTTTCAGAAGCTAGGGGAAACTAAGAGGAACTCTTCCTCTGGGCTTAATTGTGACTAGTTAGAAATAATCCATTAGTGGTATGCAAGCAACAGAAACCTTGGGAAAAAAAAAAAAACCTCAGACACTGTATTTCTCAACAAGGGTGCCATTGACATAATGGGCGGATGGGACTATCTTGGACATTGTATTTAACAACACTAAATGTCAGTAGTGTACCAAATTATCCCTCATCCCCCAAAGCTTTGCAACAACTAAAAGTACCCCCAGACATTTCCAGATGCCTTCTGGCAGGCATAGAGTGGTGGCAGTATTGCCCCTAGATGAGAACCACTGTTGAGTGCAAGAGTAAAGGAAGGGATTGCTGAGAATTGTCAGATGTGCCTTAGGCCAGTGGTTCTCAACACATGAGGATCATGCTGAGTGGAAGGGCTCCTATGAGCATACTCAGGATTATACTCAGTTCCCACTTTAAATAACTATGCCTTTCTCTCCTACTTAAGTATATGGTATAAAACTGCTCTGTAAGTATAGGTATAATTGATTCTTCATGAGTTGCTAAAAAAAAAAAATTCTTAAGCCTCAGCACTTTAACTGACAACTTGTGAGGGGCAGACCTCACATTTGATTAGGAACTGCTGCCTTCAGCTTTAAAAAAGTCTTAAAAATGTATATAGTTCCAAGGTCAAGGCATTCAAAATGGAATAGAACTAAATAGAACTAAATGGAGACTGTAATTATGAACAGTTACAAATAGTTATAAATAATAAACAGTGGGAGGAAGCTGAAGAGACCTACTTGGCTCTACCTTCTAGAACTTTGTAAATGGTCATATTTTAAATAGTCAAGTCCAGGTAATGGAAGGTCAGGCACATTGCCAAAGCTAAATACAAAGGAGTGACACCAAACTGTTAAGAACAGTGCAGAGAGAGCCTGTGGCCAAAGTAAGCTGAGATTTGTAAAAACATAAGGGAAAAAAAATCCCAAAAGTGTTTATGTTTTTAATTATGTATTTGATACTGGCGTAAGAAGAGGTAGTAGATCTGTGGGATAGGGAACATTGTGTAAGTTTATGATAGAGAAGTTAGAGCTTCTTAATTCTTATCTTGTGTCACCCTTACACAGCAAGCAGACTGACTCATCTTGAAATAAAAAAGAGTAAACTATACATCACAAAGATGGATTTAGGCCTGAAGTAGGAAAGAAAATAGTTTAAGTGGACATTTGATAGTTGTAAATGAAGTTGAATCTCCAGTCTCAGGTGAACTGCTTCTGTAGCATCCTGAAACTTCTTGGTTTCTCAAAGGTCTAGGTCTTAGAGCAATGTTTCTCAATCTGTTTTTCATTATTGCTCGTCTAAGGACATTTACCCCCCAATTGTCTTTCTCCAATCTCATGAAATGTTAATACCGCAGATATACTATCTATCTTTTACGTGCAGTATCCCTTTAGTGGGCAACAGACCATTGTAATAAGAATTAAGAATTTTTTTCAACCCCTCTTCCAAGGACCAGTTTTTGCCCCCTTGGGGGTAATATGCTCCCTGTGCATGTTGTAGAGGATTCATAGAGGACAGGAGTGAAGTCAAGCACCTCCACTTAGGTGATGAGTCTCCTGATTTTCAGACATAGAGGCACTTGGTTTGGGGAAATTATAAGATGCTTTAGTGTGGTCCCAGTGACATGACAAACCAGCCAGGCTGCCCCCCAAACCTTGTTCTTGATCATTTCTCCATGATAAAGGAAATCAGAAATTTACCTTTATTTTTCCAATGGTTAAATGTTAGCTTTGTGGGCGGAGTAGGAGGTAGACTACACTTGTAAAGTTGTGCTGTTGGGCTTGGTGGGGGAAGCACAACTTTAGCCTTGGCAAGTGTTCTTAGTTTGATCTTTGAATTCTTTTATGACCTTGCTGGGTGATTAAACAAAGTGTAAAAAATATGGAATATATTTAGTACATATAAAGGACTTTTAGGATATATGTATGTGTTTATGTGTAAAATGAAACACAATAATAAAGGAAACACTATAACCCACATCCGATTTAGGAGCTAGAATATTACCAAAAACCATTGAAGCTCTCCATGAGAATCTCTCTGATTCCCTGCCCAGGTATCCATTATCCTGAATTTATCATTCTCTTGCTTTTTTGCTTCTCAAGCACTGTTTTATTACATATGTATGGATTTCTAATGAATTCAATTTGTTAGTTTATTGAGCATTATCAAAATAGTATCATATGAGATTTATTCTGTGACTTAATTTTTTTCACTGAATACCTTTTAAGAGTTAAACATATTATTGGAAGTAGTGGTAGTTCATTCTGTTTTTGTTGTTATGTAGTACTCATTTATGTGCATTTTATCCATTTCCAGTCTCCAGTTGTATTTTTATTTTTTTAAGAATGAGTAAGTTTTCTTTTTCTTTGTTATATTTAGTTTTATTTTGAATAACATTCTGTGAGTATTCTGTCTGTCTCCTGATGTATAACGGCAAGAGTGTTTCTTAGATACCTAGGAATGCACTTCCTGGGTCACTGGGTGATTTACAAATGAGCAAACACAAATTAATTATATTAATTCAAACATTTATAAAATGCTTAGGCAGAAGATAAGCAGATTGATGGGTGATTTAATAGTAGACTTAGAAGGGCATTGGAATGAGGTAGTCTTCTATTCCCGAGTTGGTGTAGAAGAATAGACTTGAAGATGTTAAGTCATTTAATCTTCTCACTGTGAAGTTTGGGAGATCTCACAACCTATTGCCAACTTAAGTTATAGTTTTCTTCAATTTTTAAGACTGTGAGAATCATTAATTGTCTGGGATGATTTGATCATGTCCCCTTATTAGAACAAACGCATTGGACTATAAAATTGTAATAAAGTAATGATTCTAGTGCCTTATATCACCCTAGAAAATCACTTTTATTTCTTTAGTGACACTTACAGGTGATCATTCAAATGTTCTTAAAGGCTTTTAAATGTGGGATTATGTGACTCTTTATGAGATCATAAACTTCGTCCTGTTTTAACATTGATAACAATGGTTTATTGTAAAGCAGTGTGAGAATTGACCAGGTGAATGTATAAATGAATGTATGTGTGTGTGTGTATACACATAGATAGATATGCTTTTTAAAATATAATATACAAAATGCATTGATTGCTTGGAGATTTATAAGTAGTAGACTGATTTACATTTCATTTTATCTTTTTTTCCACTTGAAGTTTCAGACTCTGTGGCTCAATCTGTAATTCAGCATCTAAGATGGATAATGCAGAAGGATCTTCTGGGGCAAGATGTCTTTCTAATAGGACCTCCTGGGCCTCTTCGACGCTCTATTGCTATGCAGTACCTGGTGAGAATTGATTAATTCTTAGGGATTCCTAAGGGAACTTGGATTAGTTATGTTCTAAAATAAATTAAGAATTTACAAAAATATCAGGATTATTCATTCCTTGAAAAAAAGTTTCATTTAGATGATCTGTTTAATAAAGAGTTTGGAATAAGTATTCTGGGAAGCAAATGTACATTTATCTTTCATAGCTTTAGGAAATTTTTGCTGCAACTAGAAAGTTCTCAACTTCTGATAAAAAAGAAATACAAATTCAGGCAATGAGTGGCAGATAGGATCATAAACTCTGAGATTACAAAACAAAACTCAGTTTTATATTATTCAGGGAATATTCTTTTATCTGAGATCCACATTCTATAAAGTCAAATAGTTCTCTTGACTTTTTGATGTTATATGGTCTTTAAAGGGAGGCCATGGTTTGTAAAATATCTCTTATGTGTTACACGCTTTTTCCCCTTTAAATAGATGAGAAAACAAGTTTATTAAATAGCTCACTGAGCTTTATCCAGCTAGTAAATGATGGAGCTAGACTTCAGATCCTCTCTCTGACCTGTTATCCTCTTAAATGTTTGTAGTTCTCTGAGTACAATTGTGAAGTGAATTGAAATATTAAAATCTCAACACAGATTAAAAAAATTGTACAGGACTTTTTTTTCTACTTTGTCAGCATTAATAAGCATTGTTCTACTGAGGGAGGAAGAATGCTATCAGATAAAGTTGTTCTGTCTGAAGATATTTTTTAGGATGAAGAGAAGAACTTTGTTTTCAGCTTCCTTGTGTTACTTGATATTAAAGAATTGATTTCTGTGCTATTGAAATATACTTTGTGTACTCTTTTATTTCAGTGGTAGATTTATTTTGGTACTTCTAAAATCATGTAGGGTGAGAATGATAAAAATACAATGGGCAAATCAGAACTTAACTCCTTTGAGCCCATACCTTTCATATCTTATTTGTTCCTAGAACTGGCTTGTGAGGTATAATGGGTCATTGTAGTATTAGCCTTTTTTTCCTAATAAACAAGGCAAAAGTGGCTTTTCTATGAATGCCAAGTCAGCTACTGAGAATCCACTCTACCTGGTTCATTACAACGACCACAGTATCTCACTTTGATTTTGTTTCTGGCAAGACTGTGAAGCTTGTTAGGAATGTGGAATGAGAAAGGCTGGGAGATTACAGGAGTCTTGTTGGTTCAGAAATGCAATATAAGTCTGTAAGTGTGAAACCTGTATCTTTAAAAAAAAAATCCACAAACTTTAAATTATGAAACAGAGCCAAGGCAGCTTTAGGATGTGGAAATACACATAAGAAGGCTTACTAGCCTAAGCTTCCTTGCAAACCCTGCAAATGGGTACTGTTGCCATTAGATAAAAGATCCTATGCTTAGTAATATCCAGAGTAGATGAAGTCTTTACAGGCAGAGATTTTGGGGCAAGCCTGCTGAACCAATGAGAAATGAAGTAGAAATAATTTGATAGCTGTGTCTCTTTTATATTTAATTCATATAGAAGGAATTTTATAGATAGCCCCAAAAAACTCAACAGACCCCCGCTGCCTCCTCCATCTGCTGCTCCCAGTACTGTTAGTGAACTTGCTCAGACCATCCCTTGGAAGGAGCAGCAGGGGAGACTTTGGTGCTTGTCTGGGCTGAGGAAGAATCTCAGGAAGCTAAGACTGAGGATAATATTCTCAGTGTGGCAGTTCAGGGTGTTACTCTGGTACAATTTAACAATAAGAGTATGTATGACTTTGTCAACCAGTTTTGACAGGGTTTTTCCAGTGATCACATTCAACCAATCAGTGAAACAGACATGGTGGTACCAGCAATGTGTTCCCAAAGCAAGAAGGAGGTATTCACTAACAAGAGAAGTTGCTGCTTTAGTCTGAAAGTGTGCTTTCACGGGCAGTTCATTCTTATTTAGAAAAATATTGTTTGGTATCACCACATCTTCACCACTATATGTGTGTTTTCTCTACTTAAAATGTTTTCTTCTTTCCATACGTACTTAAATTTATGGGTGCCCGGGAACAGGCATATATTATAAAAACAAAATGAAAATGATACTGTATTTTTATCAACATCACATGGAGATAAGGCAGAGGAAAAAAAAATCCTGTTGTGTGGACTTATCCTCTTTTACCATGAATGGCATGCTCATTCAATTTTCTTCTTTATACGTCAGTAAATTAATTTGTTCTTCCTATTTAATAACAACATATTGTATGCCTTATTCAACTGGAGAGCATCATTGTTTTTAATTCAATATTGTAAAACCAAGGATAATGTTAAAAGCTTTTTGTACATAATTGTCACATGCAGGGCAAAATGACATTAGGGATGGATAAATTATTCTAAAAGAAATGAATTCTGGATGGTTTCCCCTTCAAACCAAAGTGTTTGTTTTGTGTGAAAGAATTCTTTTTTCCCTCTTCTCCTTCCCCTCCTTCTTTCATCCTTCTTCTTGTCCTTCCTGAATAGCTATGTTTGTTTTCCTTCCCTCTTCTGTTGACCTTCCTATTGGTATTTACCCTGTGAACCCAACATATCACAACGGTTGGTAAACATCGGTTAATGGGCTAAATTAATTTAGATGCCCTTTAAAAAAAAGGTGAACATTACTTACTGAAATGACTATCATTTGTGGAAAAACTAAGTTGGCAAGTTATCACTCGTGATATTTGAAAAGAATTCTATAAAAGATACTAAGATTTGTAAGATCTGACTGATTATTATTGCTTAAGAAGTAAATGATTATTAAGTAGTAAACTATTGGATGCAGCAAACGTAGAGGTCTGAGGAGAGAGAGGTACATGCATGTTTTCATTAATTCTCAATGTTTTGCATTTTTCTCAAAGCTAAGACTCAAGAGGATTTTCATTCAGAATTAGATTTAAAATGTTCTTCTAGGGTAGTGACATTGTTGGATAACTGGCTCCAAAGCATATGTTGGGAATTTGATTTAATATTGAAACAATTTCACTCTCTGCTCTACAGGAGCTGACCAAAAGGGAAGTTGAATACATTGCCCTGTCAAGGGACACCACTGAAACCGATCTCAAACAGCGTCGAGAGATCCGAGGAGGCACAGCTTTTTACGTTGATCAGGCAAGTTCTGATCACACTCCAGCACATGACTGTTTAGTCCAGGTCTATGCAAAATTGTTTTTTAAAGTAGAAAGAGATAGCTCATGTGATAGAGATAATGCATTGTGCTTTCTCTAGACAGATTTAATTTAGATTTTTGGTTTTCCTGTTCTTGGAAATGCCTTCTTCGTTTAGCACTAAATAAAAAACTGTAGATGAAATTAGTGGTTCTGAAATGTTACCTAAGGATCAATATGCTGATTTCTTAATTTTTAATTGCTTCCTAGTACTTATACATAGAAATAAGAATTTTTAAAAAGGAATTAAGGAGATTTTAATACAGGAACTTCTCTAGCATATTTAGAAATTATTCTTGATCTAAAAGTCAGGTAAAGGTGTATTAAACATAGTGAAATTAAATATATACTAAACTACAGCTTTTGTGGGGGGAGGTGCAGATTACCAACTAACATAATATTTTATCATTATATTTTATCAATATTATAATGAAGCTCGTTGAACATTTCTTACAAACATATAGCTTAAAATATTGAATATTGTTCTTCATTAGGAATACTTAATAGAGAAAGGACAGAGATCTTAAATCAGCAACTCATAGAGGGAAGATTTCAAATGTCCAAGAAATTCATGACAAGATGCTTTGCTTTCTCATTTACAAAAATAAAAATTAAAACATTAATGAGCTGTTGTTTTTCTTTCACCTCTCATATTAGCAAAAACTAAAGAATCTGCTAATGTCCAATCTTTTTTTTTGTTTGTTCGTTTTTTTTGTTTTTTAAAGATTTTATTTATTTATTTGACAGAGAGAGACACAGCGAGAGAGGGAACACAAGCAGGGGGAGCGGGAGAGGGGGAAGCAGGCTTCCCACGGAGCAGGGAGCCGGATGCGAGGCTCCATCCCAGGACCCTGGAATCATGACCTGAGCCGAAGGCAGATGCCCAACGACTGAGCCACCCAGGCGCCCCTGTTAATGTCCATTGTTGATGGGGAAGAAGGGATGAGGAAACAGCATTGCTGTTGATGCAATTTTGAAAGAAAATTTGGCAATATCTATGAAAAGAAAAGAAATTAAATATATTTGGACTCAGCAGTTATATTTCTGGCAATTTTTCTTCCAGATGTTATTCATATAAAGCAAGCAAAGTTATGTATGCAACAGTATTTATTGTAGCATTGTTTGATATCATATAAAACTATAAGTGAAAACTGTAATCCTCTTTAGGAAGGGTGCCTGCATGGCTCAGTTGGTTAAGCATCTGACTCTTGATTTCGGCTCAGGTCATGATCTCAGGATTGTGAGATCAAGCCCCATGTTGGTGTCCGTGCTGCAGTCTGCTTGAGATTCTCTCTCTCTCCCTCTGCCTTTGGCCCTCCCCCTGTCTCTGGCTCTGTCTTTCTGTTTCTCTTTCCCTCTCTAAAAAAAAAATAATAACTTAGGAAACTAGTTAAACTAGTTAAATAAATAACAGTAAGTAGAATTCTCTATAGCCATTAAAAAGAATGTAGTAATAGGAAAGAAGTCCAGGATAAAGCATAAAAATGACGTTGCAAGACTGCATATGTAATATGATCCTATTTGTGGTAAAAAGAAAAAAAGAAATATGTAAATGTTTGTGTATATGTTGGAAATTTCCAGAAGGATACACAAGGATCAGTTAACAGAGCTTGCCTCTGTGGAAGTGTGACCCAGCATCTGGGGTGGGGCGAGGAAAGAATTTTGATAGTCCTTTAAATTTGAAGCTTCCTCATGAGCACACTATTACTTTATAATTAAAAGAGTATACATTTAACCCTTGAACAATAAGTGGGTTAGGGTTGCTGACCCCTGAGCAGTCAAAAATCTGCATATGAATTTTGGTTCCCCCAAAACTTAACTACTAATAGCCTACTGTTGACTGGAAGCCTTACTAATGACAAATAGTCGATTACTGTATTTTGCATATTATATGTATTATATACTATATTCTTAAACTAAGCTAGAAAAAAGAATATGTTCTTAGGAGCATCACAAATAAAACACATCTATAGTACTGTACTATATTGAAAAAATATCTGCATATAAGTGGACCCATCCAGTTCAAACGTGTTATTCAAGGGTCAAGTTATTATAAGTGTAAAAAATCACTGAGTGAAAGAATATTTGGAGACCAGGATATTCACATTATCTTATAGATTACTTGTTAGTTACAAAAGCAAAAATGTACTTAAAACGGGGAGAGTTGGCAGTCACCAGCTTAAAGGATGGTGATCACACTTAGCACCTTGTAGTGAGAAAATCTGAGTTCACATTTCCAATTACAAAGTAATCCTTTGTGGATGAAACCCAGAAGTACATTTTAAAGAAATCTGTCTTATTCACATAATGCAAAGGTTCACTTTATACATTATTTCTAATTACACATGGGAAAAAAAGGTACCTTTACAACACCTGCTTCTTTTCTTTATCTAGTGAGACCAAGAGTAAGGAGTTGGGGAGAGAGCGTAGAAAACTGAGACTACGGCCCAAGGAGTGGAGAGGAGATGGGAACCGATTGATTGATTGATTCATTCATTCATTCATTTATTTAAAAGATTTTAATCAATTATATGAGAGAGCGAGAGTGCACAAGCAGGGGGAGGGGGAGAGGAAGAAGCAGGCTCCCTGCCGAGCAAAGAGCCTGATTCAGGACTTGATCCCAGGACCCTGGGATCATGACCTGAGCTCAGGACAGACGCTTAACTACTGAGCCACCCAGGCGCCCAGATGGGAACAGATTTAATGATGCCAAAAGAACTGGCCGTTTGGTAGAGTGTGGATTTAAAAACAAATTTTTTGAATGAATCTTCTATCTGGATTGATAGTTGCAATGCAAATAGTGAAGAAGAGAAAGTGGACTTTTATATGTTTATTATTTTAAAGGCACCTTAAAACTTTGTATTTCTTGAAACATAAAGTAAATTATTTAGATAACACTGTGTAATATACTCTGCCTGCCATTCTAAAAAGCATATTTCTGGATGATACCTATTTTACGGTTTATAAAATATTTAAAGTGCTATTATAAATGTATGGTAATACCTTATATTTCATGTTTTCTTGGCAAATCCTGCTTGTTATGACGAACATCCGTTATTTGGAATGTAATGCACAGACACCTTCTGAGCCTGTGATTGTGGCATAGGAACATTGGTCCTTTTCCTAAGTTACTTCAGACTATTTGTTGAGATTATATCTGATTTTCATATTTTTTTCTTCTGTCTCTTAATATTCTTTATTATTTGTTCATAATCAGATCCTAACAGTTCCTTGCTTACACCCATGCAATCCTGTCATGCCCGGAATAAAATCCAAACCCTTTAATATTGCCTACAATACTCTATAGGACCTGATCTTGTCTACCTCAGCTCCTTTTTCTCTTTCCCTTGCTTTTTAGGCTCTTGCTACATGGCCTTGTTATCTTAAAAATAGATCTAATGCTTTCCAGCCTCAGAGCCTTTGTATTTAATATTTCCTCTGCCTGGTACAAGCTTCTCCCAGATCTGTATAGTCCTGCCTCCTCATCATTCAGATTATAAATTCTCAGAACATTTTAGTAATCACTGACGATGCCCACCCCCCTTCCACATATACAGTGCTATTATATTATACAATGTGATCTTCAGAGTACCTATCACTATCTGAATTTACCTTATTATTTCTGTGTTTCCATGTTTAATTGTCTGCATTCCCTATCAGAATGTAACTTTCTTGTTTATCTCTGGCACCTAAAAACTGTCTGGAAGATGATTGGCACTTATATTTGATGATAGATTTCTCCTTTGGATAATCAGTCTTGTTAAAATTTTAAGTAAATTAAGAATAAATAGGTTCAGGGGACCCTCCAGTGGAAAAGGTATTTATCTTTTTGACATCTATTTTGAGTCATCAGAATGAGTAATTCCCATCTGAATTCTAGATAGATGAAGTTGCCAATTGATTACCAGTTGGTCGTATGTTTGTTAGACTGAAAGGTCTTTATTTTATTTGGAAATTTATTTGTTTAATATTCTTAACCATAATAACAGAACAATAAGGGTAATATTCTTAATTTGATGTCTGGGATCAGGGGAGAGGCAGTATCTTCATTTACCAGTAGGTGATGGCTCTAACCTAGGTGGGCCAACATAAGTGAAAAAAGGCCTGTGGCCATCTGGTGGGTGCTGGGAGAGAAAGTTCAGATTGTTCAGTGTGCCTGATGCAGGCGCATGTGACCAACGTTCAAGTAATTACTAATTGACTTTTCAACTGGAAACCTTGGCAAAACCCCCAATTCCGAGTTGAGGGGTCATGACTATCAACCTCTTCACTTATTTTCACGCAAGATTAAGGATGATTGATGATAAAGTGAGAGGTTAAACTGAACTGCTACTCCTGAAGGTTAGAATTAGGGTAGTAATTCTATAGTAGGGAATTTGTATTTTCTTTTAAAATAATGTTTATTTTTTCTGATTAATAATATTATAAGTGCTTTTTATAGATATATGTTTATTAATATCATAAATGCTTTTTATAGATTGTGTGTATGTATATGTATATATATATACTATATAGAGAGAATTTCTTAAATATTTATCAAAATGACTGCTATGTGTCAGGCACTGTCTAGGTGCGGTGAACAAAAGAAACAGATGCCTGTCATCGTAGAGCTGTTTTTTTAAAATTTTTTTTATTAATTTTTAGAGCACACACGAGTGGGTGCAGGGCGGTGGGAGGAGGAGCAGAGGAAGAGGGAGAGAAAGAATCTTCAGGAGGCTCCCTGCTCAGCACGGAGCCTTGCCTGAGCCTGACGTGGGGTTCAATCTCACAACCCTGAGATCATGACTTGAGCCGAAACCAGGAGTCCTTTGCTTAACTGACTGAGCCATCCAGGCACCCCATAGAGCTTATGTTTTAATGGGGGAAACAAAACCATAGTAAAAAAGTATAGTATAAAAAGTAAATGCTAAAGGGCATCGGGAAGAATATAAAAATTACTTTTAT